TTTTTTTTTTTTTTTTTTTTTTTTTTTGCATCTTTCTTTTAAGCTCAGTCATTATTGTTGCTTTCATGTTGGTTATTCGAAGGGTTTTTTGTTCCACGGTTGTTTTCATGGGGTTCTTTCCCTTTTATGATTTCGTCAGTTCTTTTTCCTGATTGTTATTTGCAAAATTTTATCGTCTGTGACTAGCAGCTTCTTTTGAACTTTTCAGCTTTTTTGAATTCATTCTCTATGAGCACATTGTCAGCGAAATTAAACCTTGTTGAGTTTATTGATGGTTTGGACTTTTTGTTGAAATTTTTTCTTGTTATTGTTTTCAGTGCCGCTATTTTTCTAATTCTTTTTCACTCTAGTCTTTTAATGTTTTTCAAAGAAAAGTTATTCATTGCAAACATTTATTGTATTTTATCTCACGGCTATTGGATAGGGTTCTTGAACGAACGCGTCAATATCACTTGTTTGTTCTTTCCATTTCGTCTGTATTAGCTTCAGCATTTCGTTTTTTGAAAACATGATTTGGTAATGGTTTGTTCCTTATTTCCATCAACTGAGACTTTGCATTTTCGAAGTCTATCAGCACTTTAATGATCTTCCAGTGGAGATTGGGGTTCAAACTGAAATATGAATGTTTTGGGGTTTATATTCATCTTTGTTTTTTGTTGGCTTTTGGTACTCATCGTTCGTTAAAAAGTTTTTTATTATCAAGTTTTCTTACTAGTGCATTGAAGTTTCCGAAGCTTTTTAAGTCGAATAACTTACCCGATACGTTGCATGGCTAGACCATATTTCATTTGCTGTAGGAGCTGCAACGATATGAAATCTTGTGATTGAAGGATGCAAGTGACGTTCAACACCAGTTGACCGGAAGAAGTTGTAGTGAGTCCTATTCGGGAAAGTTTGGACCCCTAAATTTCAAAATTTTGTTTGTGGAGCTGTTGGTGTGTTACCTCTTATTGGTTTTAAAACATTTGATGTGAACGTTTTGGATAAGTTAAGGAATAGGTTAACTGGGTTCAAGAAATTTCCATGTCAGTACTTCTACTGAGGTTTAATTGTTTTGACGGTTCTAAATACTGCCAAATTAAAGGTAGAGGGCAATGTTGCATTTTTTGTGGATGCTATTTTGCGATTGCTTCATAGACCTTCGTACGTAAAACGGCGAATTACATGATGGTAGCGGAATAACTGCGAAGTTGTCGCGTAATTTTTGCCTTCACAAACCAGCCATCATTTTTGTTAGTGACGAATAGGATTTGGCGGAAAGAAAAGCTCAGGAAGCTCGGGTTTGAGGTTTACGAGTATTAACTGAGAGAGATTTGCTGAGCGTAACTGTTGAATGGAGAAATGGCAGCATGAAATTGTTAGTTAGTTGAGTGGTTTTGTGGTGGAAGAAATTTCAAGTTAAGAAGAGGAGAGAGAGGATTAAGTAGCAGCTATGTTGATACTGATGCTTGAATATTGTTCGATAGTGGCCTTACCTGACTATTCACAAAATACTCCACAAACCTACTCGCACTTGTTCGTTAAGTACACTACACTTAACATCAGTTGTTTTGCAAAGGGTTGTGACATTACCATTAAATCGTTATTGGTAACCACTAATTTTTATTTGTTTAGGGGCGATAGAAAAGAATAAATTTTTGGTAATACAGTGTCGATTGAAATAAATGGTTGTAAAACTAAGTTAACA